GCGGCGCTGCCAGGCGGTGCCTGCTGCTGTGCGTGCTGCTGCCTATGACTGCGCCGCAGTGCGCTGCCGGATGGTGTGCCCATAACACTGGGCTTCTCCAAATCAACTTCAGGACCTGATTCACCAGTGGCAAGGCAAAGGATTGAGCAAGAGAGGCAAGGTGTTTTGGCAAATAATGCTGCATGCTGTGCTTTGGGGAGTTTAAAGAAAGGAACAACTGCCTTTTTGAGAATAGGGCAAGATCAAGGCCTTCACCCATCTCTGTAATCAGTGGGCAGCCAGTTCAGACAAGTTTAAAGGAGTCTCCATAAATGACCTCAACAGGGACGCTGGTCTCTTCCTTTTCTCCTCCTCCCCCCCTCCTTCCCCCCAATCTACAGGAGGCTTCCCCTTAGGATGGAAGAAACATGGACCCTAAGCTTCGACGGAAGTGCTTCAGGTAACCCCGGATCTGCTGGTATTGGAGGAGAACTAAGGGATGAAAATGGAAACATCTGCTGGGTGTACAGTTGACTCTACTAAGGCTGAAGTGATGGCTGCACTTACGGGGATCCGCTTAAATCAACCGGATAGGCATTCAGAACTTAACCATAGAGGGAGATTCAGCCAACACCATAAAAAGGCTAGGAAGACAGGAGGCTGGACCATGGAGACTCAGTCACTCCCTAGCAGAAGCAAGGGATTTATTGGCTGCTTCAAATGCAAACCTGTACTGGATCCCAAGGGAGCTCAATGCTCTTGCAGATGGGTTAGCAAAATTAGGTGCTCTTTTAGAAGTTCTGTACTGTGATAAAATCCCCCCTGTGTAATTCTCAGGGGTCTGATCCCTGTTTTCCTTCTTTTTCTCCTTGTACACCCCTCTTGTATGCCCCTCTTTTTGTTAAGTGAAATCAGTCAACTTTTCTCAAAAAAAAAAAAAAAAAACAGAGTGGGGTATTAGGTTAATGTAGATTGGGAGAGTTTTATATTAAAGAAGGTAAAACTTTGTATGGGAAATATTAGTTGTCTAAATGATCAAAACAAAGTGGGGTATTAGGTTAATGCGGATAGGGAGATGAAACTTATGGCCAATCCAGAAGGTTCCCTACTTGATACATGGTTTGTATTGGATGGAGCATCCATCCACGTGGCAGAGCCATTGAAAAGCTCCCTACTTGATCCAATTAGGAAACTTGAAACACACATAAGCATGTTTATATTTTATGGATCATTCACAGAAATATAAACATTTTTTTTGGTTCATGTACACCATATATCTTTATTTCTTCCATGGGAAGACAAATGAAGAAGTATGCTCATGAATGCATAAAACAGGCAATTATTTGTTGGAGAGATCTATAAAAAAATTATTTGTTGGAGAGGATATTGGATACCAGATTTGGGTTGGTAAGGCGGATGTCTGATATGAGTTATTACCATGTAAGACTTCTTTGCAATGAATAAGAGATCATTTTCATACTATCATTATTGGAATACTTTATATAAGGTTCCATGTCTCAATTGAATGTGTGATTTTTATGTCTTCATATTATTTGCATACAGCTGTCCCCTTTCAGACTGATGTTTGGATGTGCAGGTTGAAACAGTAGCACAGTTTGGTGTAATTTTTCTTCTTTTTGCTTTGGGTCTGGAGTTCTCAGTAACAAAGGTTGGCTTGTAAAAACCTTTATTGCATGTCCTTCTCTTTCCAACTCTAGAACTTGTACATATTAACCTATGACATTGATCTCATTATTTATTCCTTTCTTATCAATGTTGTCTTTCCCAAACATTTTCAGCTCCGGGTTGTTCGAGCAGTTGCTGTTTTAGGTGGTCTACTCCAAATCTTCCTATTTATGTGCTTGTGTGGCATAACTGCTTCAGTATGTCTAATGGTTCTCAACTATTTCATTTATTGATATTTTAGTAATGCCATATTTCAACCATGGATCAGTACCTTTACCAAAAGTATTACACATTAAATCTAAAATAATTTTGTTGCCTTTCTCCACATAGGTGCAGTATATGTCCATAATTTGAAACCAGAATTGAATTAACCACTTAACATTATAAATACTACTCTGATACAAAATTTCTTAGAGAGACTGCCCTAGGGTCTTCCCTTTTTTTGTTTTTGTTTTTGTTTTTTATTTTTTATTTTTTGAATTAAGGACTAAAAGCAGGACTTGGTATGGTTTGTGGACTAGGTAATTCTTGCCACTTCTTAAAATTTGAGGTGATCACAGAAAATTTTGATTTAATCAAATTTATGAGTTTCTCCTTAAAATAAAGTAGCAAGTAATGTGAGAAAGAAATCTTCATTAACCATATTATGCATGCAAGGTTTTGACCATTTATCCATTTGTTATAATTTCTTATGGTCCAATGGCACCTTCTTGTACATTTTTACCTCATAGCATTGGTGGTTGAGGTTTTTAGTTGTTTTGATAAAATTGAGGTTCTCCCAATCCAGCAACTTTAACGTCTCAACATGGTTTCAATGTTCATGTATATTTAACACATAATACACAAAAAGAAGCTGGGGATTACCCTTTCTTGCTTCTATTTTCTTCTATCCTATTTGCTCATGCTGTACTCTAAGGTTTATGGGTCCATGGATTTACTCCATTGCATGCCTTATAATTTCTTAGTTTCTCCTTTTGGGCTTGCAGAACTTTTAGAATGTTTCTAGGGATCTTTTCTGTTTCTCTTTCCCTTGGTCCTGATATATGCAACTGTATGTTTCTGCAGTTATGTGGTGGTAAACCTTCTGAGGGGGTATTTGTAGGTGCATTCTTGTCAATGTCTTCAACTGCAGTGGTATTTTCTGATACATGTTTTTATTCCTGACTATTGATTTGCTAGTAAATTTGTGTACTTATCAATGACATGCTTGAAATCGTTTCCAAGATTAGATATGTATTGATCTTTCAGTATGTTTGGATTAGTCATAAGCAATAAAGAAAAAGATATTTACAGTGGTGATTTTTTATATAAACATAAGTTATTGTATTTCATTCCAAAATCATCCTGCATATACAGGATGTATGACAAAGATACAAAAATCAGATTTAGCATAGATCTCTATCATCCTCTAGGTAAACAAAATCAAAGACTCAAAATAGGCATGGTGAGGCATCAATTTGAAGAAATCTTGATCTGTAAGCCAGGAATAGCGTTGCCACCACTCTCTGGAATGAACTTTCTGTTAACAGCTGTTATTTTTCCTATGTATAGTACCACAGGGGTACTATTGTACTTTTGCTCCTTTTTATTTTAGTTATCGTCGCCCTAGTATATATATTAAAAGGCTGCGCCGCCAGCAGCAATATTTTGAGCTCTCAGTTCTCTCTTCTCTCTTCTTCTCTCTTCTTCTCTCTTTTTTCTCTCTTCTTTCACTCTTCTCTCCTGCATAACATGGTATCAGAGCGGGACTACCAGATCTGAAAGGAGAAGTCAAGTGAACAGTCTTTTTTTTCTTCGCACCAGATTTCTAGATCTGTCGCCCTCATCTGTTGTTCGGCTGATTAAAGATCTCACACATTGAAGTAACCTTTTTCTCTCTCTCTTACCTTTTTCTTTTTCTGGTTGTGTGCCAGGGCAGAAACTGTACTAGGTCTGCCGATTGGATGTGAGGTGATCAACACCTCTTTCTTTCCTTTTTTGTGAGGTCGACTGATCCCTGTGAAACTGTAGGTCGTGAGGACCTTTTTTGGGTGCTGCAACAGCAGCTTTTATGGTGAACTGTGGGTCAGAAAGTGACTAGTACTTCTTGTGTGCTGCAACAACAGCTTTTATGGTGAACCAAAGGTCAGAAAGTGACCAGTACTTGCTGTAACGGTAGTCCTGTTGATGCGTATGTCAAGAGATGACCTGTATGCACTGTGACAACACTTGTGTTGAACTTGTAAGTCAAGGAATGACCTTTTAGTGCTGTAACCGCACCTATAACAACACTTTAAGGCTTACCCCATTTAAGAGTTGCTTTTGAATCTGAAATCATGAGTGGTGAAGATTCTGCTACATCCGGTGTTTCCTCAATGCTGAATGGAATGAGTGGGGGTGTGGACCTATCCTTTC